CAATGATATATGAACAAACCAAAAAAAAAAATATTTTTATTAATAAAAATACCTTGCTACGTGTACTGCGTTGACTACTTATCATTTGCACTAACATACTGTTGCTCTTTTGTTAGTTTTGATTGATTCTATTGTCCTCATTTGTAAGTCGCTTTGGATAAAAGCATCTGCTAAATGACTAAATGTAAATGTAAAACAGATATGAATGTAACTGTTGAATGTGGTTTATGTAAGTGCTGCTGAAATGTAGATTTCTGACTCAAGTGCAGGAGAAAAAAAATTATTTTGAGAAAACACATTGAGATCTACTGATGCAAATAAAGTACAGTTAAAACTAAGCACTTAAAAGTGCATTTTGGTTGTTTTTCCTCCACTAGTCTGAAACGTTATGAAAAAGCCAAATAGCGCAAAATCTCAAAATTGACCAATGCATGAAAAAACACTGTTTTTTAAAAGGATAATTAGCAGATAAAGGCATTAGTTGTTTAAATGCAATAGATCAACATTGTTTACGTTAATGAGGATGATGATGGTGATCTATTCACAGTGCCACATGAGAGAGTGGGTAATTGTGTGAGCTGTGTTAGTATGCAGAGGCAGCGACGCTGTTGACCTCCTTGTTTCTTTTACCCGGGCGACTGCAGTCTGTGTTTCTGCTGAGTCGGCTGCTCTTCTTTGGTGGTTTAGGACTCATTAGGCCTGTAATGTCTTAATTCTGTCCTCTCTACAAAGCCGTACTGACATCCCCCATATTTTACCTCCTGAAATGCATCACAGAATTCATGCCTGTTGGGTTAAGAAGCTAATTGACTGACATTGACCCTTTTTTCATTGGTGGAGTTGGTCGAATTTGAAGCGATTTGCTGTCGCTTTAGCAATTAAGGGACTGGAAAACACACAAGCACACTCATTGGGCCTTTTGGTAGCACTTAGTTCATTTTTATTTCTGGGAAATCTGCATTTTTAATTAGAGCCCGACCGATATGGGTTTTTTGGGGTCGATACCGATACCGATATAATCGATATATCGGCCGATATTCTTTGTGTATATTATAGTACAATACCAGTCAAAAGTTTGGACACTTTCCCATTCGTGTGTCCAAACATTTGACTGGTACTATATATAGAAACATATATAGAAACATAAACAGAATATATATACATAAACACATTTTTTACAATGATCACTCAAATGTGGTGATCAAACACTTACAATGACGTGACAGAGATACGTAATGGAGGCAGGGCATTTATTTCATATACCTTTTTTTTTTTCACCATTGCATAAATTAAAAAGCCAAATTCCATAGACTAAGCTTTAAAGTGTTTCATCCAGGTCTGCAGTAGCAAACAATAGAGTGCGCTCTGCTGGGCAAACTAAGTAATTACACCATTTCAAGCATTTTATCTGCGTTATATGTTCTGTAAAAAAATATTTTCATATCGGCAGCATATCGGCGGCATATTCGCCGATACCGATATATCGGCGACAGGCTCATATCGGCCGATAATATCGGCAAAACGATATATCGGTCGGGCTCTATTTTTAATGCCTTTGCAGCGCTCAGAGCGCATTTTGACTGCAGGGGTATTTATATTATCGGATATTTATTCAGTCAGGCGGGAACTAAATTACACAATCTCATGCATTCCTGTGTAACACCGGAAAATGTGCTGATTCGCTGGATGTTATTAGCAATTAATTTTTATATAAAAGGACTTTGTATGTTTCCAGAAAATGTTTTTTTGTTAGGAAGCATGCAGAGTATTTCAGGACAAACCCACATTCTGTCGAGCTGATGTGAATGGCAGACGCTGTGGTTTTTAGCACAGACTGACCACACGGGTGAACAAAGTGTCAGTGCCGACCACAGTCAGTGATCACTCTGTTACTGCGGTCCAATGTCTGAAAAGGGATGTTAACGGTAGAAATTGCCACAAGTTACCTTAAGTGGAGTTGAGTAGGTCTGGGGAATTTACTATATCAAATTTAAAGGCATACTGTAGGTCACTCAGAAATGGAAATGCTGTCATCATTTACTCAACCTCAAGTTGTTCCCAACCTGTATGAATTTCTTTCTTGTGCTGAACACAACAGAAGAGATTTTAAACAATGTGTGTAACCAAACAGTTCATGGAAGTCAGTGGGGACCAGCAGCTTCTAATATAACTTAAACAAAAATGTAGAAAATGTAAATAAAAAAATTAAAAAGGCAGAGTCTGAACTGATTCACTCAAATGAATCAATTGTAACATAATTTTTGTCACTGAAGTTCAAATCATAAATAATCTTAAACCTTAATCTTTTATTGACACTGCCATACTTGTGATTCTGAAATGAGTCTAATATTATGGTCTTCAGGACAATTTGGCCTCAAAATATTGCTTTATTACATTAGATGTTTTATTTTAGTTATTTTATCAAGTAACTTTTCTGCAGGTGAGGTAAATACTCATATATAGAAGTTGCACAAGAGTCATACACATGAATCAAAAAGACCATAATGGTAGCACACATGACGCTAAAATAATTCAATAAACATTCATTTAACAACATTAAATGTAACATATGCATACAATATAAATACCTGATAAGAAATAAAAATAAGAAGAAACATAATTATTCAAATGAAAACCAAAAGCACACAGGGAATTCTGGGAATCTCAGTATGTTTTTCATTGTAAATTATAAGATTACTTGTTGTTTTTCACTAAAAGCTGTAAATTTAACAATATTTTACTGTAAAATTACATGTCCCATTTGATTTATTTCAGTTTTTGACTATATATAGTAAGGGGACTTACCATTAACCAATTAAAGGGTTAGTTCACCCAAAAATGAAAATTAGCCCATAAATTACTTTACCCTCAAGTCATCCTAGGTGTATATGACTTTCTTCTTTCAGACGAATCCAGTGTAGTTTTCTTACTCACGTAAGTACGTTTTCTTTTATCATTTGCCACAAAATAATGTTCTTTTTAGCAGCATCATATGACCCCTTTAAAGAAAAACACTGAAGCCAAACATGGTCAGGTCAAAGTGTCTGAATAATTTTTGGTCCCAATTTTTTTTTTCCCGATTTTACACTGTATCCACTGTATGAAGAATTTTTGGGTATAATATGTCACAGTTTACTTTATTTTGCTATCCTCAATGAACTATAGTGTTCTGCACCACTAGTAAAAAAATATAAAAAATTATATCTGGTGTCTGAATAATTTTTGATTTGACTATATATATTTGCCTAGTCCTAGTTTTAGTATTACACTGCCACACAACTGGTCATTGAATAGATCTTATGTCGAGAGAGCAGGTAATAAAAGACATCGGAGGCAAGTTATTATGTTTGTGAAAGGAGGTATATTTACAGTCTCCATACACCTGTCTTTCTCTTTCCTGAGCCGCCTAATTGAAGTATGTTGTCACTCTCCTTTGGCGGGATATGCTTCCTATTTTTAGACCTTCATTTCAAGGCGGCAGTGATGTCATCTATTTTGAAACCTCTATTGAGTTTTCTTTCCTTAGCTCTCAGGGCTGTATTTATGATAACAAAGAGGGGCAGTCACTCTTTTGACAGCCTTTCTTTACGCCACAGATGATGGAGTTGAACCAATTTTCACTATGAACTTCAGTCTGAGGCCTTTAAAGATTGCAGTCTGCTTTGTAAAACGCTATCTCATGCCAACAAGTCGACTGCCAGGAAGAACTCAACCTTGATGCTTATGCAATGACATCAGTGAGATAAAATTTTCAAAACATGCCCTAGTTAGTGCCACTTGAAAGATACGACCCGCCGTTTCTGTTAGTCTGCTTGATTAAAAAAAAGTCTTGTGTATATTCAAATTGAATAGTTATTTTAAATTTTAAAGTGCCCCTATTATGGATTTTTGAAAATGACCTTTTATGCAGTGTGTAACACAGCTCTAAGTGAATCAAAACATTCTGCAATATTTCAAATCTGAAAGTGCACCGTGTATAAAGTTATTGTCTCTCAAAAGAAAGAGTTGACTCTGAATCATTGAAACGAGTCGTTTTTCAAATGAATTCCAAGCCGTTTCATGTTGATGTCAACATGAAACATTAGCATATTGCGTTGGTCTGAATGAAAATGCAAATTCATTCTTTGCCACTAGGTGCCGCTTTTGGAGCGGTAAGATAAGCTGTTTCCCCGGTAACGCTGTACACAAAGCAGCACTGCGCTTACAAACGCTGCTTTATCAGGCATTATTACAGGCATGATGAAATGAAAATGAGACCAATCGGACCAATCACTGCAGATTAGCGTCACGCAAAGGAGGGGTTTGGAAAAGTTTATCGTTGAGCGAATCGTTTGGGAGTCGTTGAGCAAGTAAGATAAAAAATAAATGCATATTATAAGACAATGAAAGTGTTTTTTGACCTTGCATGCATGTCAACCTGTTGTTGGGGACTCCCAAAACCAAAATATGAACCTTTCATTACCCATAATAGGGACACTTTAATAATATTTCACAATATTACTCTTTTGTGGAACACACAACACTATTTATACACTCATACACTTATTTATCTAACACACACATGAAAACAAATTCCTCGTATGTGAAAACATACCTGGCAATAAAGCTCATTCTGATTCTGATATATATATATATATATATATTTTTTTTAACTGCACTTTTAATCAAATAAATGCAGCTTTGATTGTTAAAAGCTTTCAAAAAAGCTTGTTCATGTGCATATGTGTGTGTGTCTATAATGTAATAAATATCTTTACTAGTGAAGGAAACTGAAACTTCCCCAGTTGTATGTGGAAGCAGAGAGGAGGTGTTTAAACAGTGATTGTTAAGTGTAAATGAAGTATAAAATGTGTGACAGCTGGGTTTGGGGGAATTTCTCCATTTATGGTGATCATTTCTCTCACCGAGTCCTCTCAGTTTAGATTTGCTCTTAGGATCAGGATCGGTAGAGAGAACCACTTTAGCTCTGGCCTGATGTTTTATTCCTCTTTGTGTTTCAGGAAGACGTGGAGACTCGCAGCAGGAAGATCTTGTTCAAGGCTGTAAGAGATTGGAGCAACATCCGCTGCTTTATAATAGCAGGTAAGTGAATCTGCAGTGATACACACTCAAACACAGAGGCTGTTCATGCGGTGAAAAAAAAAAGGAAGGTAGAAGACTGATGGTAAGATGCAGCAAATTAAATCTTGTGCAAAACAAACTGTTGCTTTGTGCCTGTTGCTGATGTGTAGGCTTTCTCCGAGGCCTTCATCAGAACTGTAGGCACTAGTTATGTAGCGATACATCGAGTTGTGACCATTGCAGTGATTTTAATGCAGTGTGTTTTTCTCCATTTTCATGATCTGTCCTTTCTTCGTGACTCACGACTGTGAGACTGTTAAGGCAGATGTTTTAGTGTCTGCTGTCATCAGCAGCAAAAATGTGTTAGTCAATTTCTGTGAATCGGTTCAGAATATCTGTTTTGATTAATGTCATTCATGAGTCGCTGACATTATGGTTCAGTTGTTTGCAGAAGTCCTTGTGTTGTGTTTTTGGCAAGATTTTGCACTCTTTTGCTCACCAAGGCTGCATTTATTTGTTCAAAAATACAGTAAAAAAATTAAAATAAGGGTTTTCTACTTAATTATTTTATTGGTAACACTTTAGTATTGGGACCAATTCTCACTATTAACTAGTTGCTTATTAGCATGCCTATTATATTTGCTGTTTATTAGTGCTTATAAAGTACATTTTCTGCATGATCATATTATACACCTCTAATCCTACCCAATACCTAAACTTAATATCTACCTTACTAACTATTAATAAGCAGCAAATTAGGAGTTTATTGAAGCAAAAGTCATAGTTAATGGTTTGTTAATAGCAAGAATTGGACCTTAAAATAAAGTGTGACCATTTTATTAAATGCAATTTTTAATGAAGTTTTTTTGTAGCTTTTGATCAATCTAATGTATCTTTGTTGAATAGAAGTATTAATTTCTTAAATCTTAAAAAAAAATCGTACTCACCCCAAACATTTGAACGGTATAATATATGCTATAATAATAATAATAATAATTATTATTATTATTATTTTGTAGTGTTCATAGTGAAAACAGTGTAAAAATAATGCCTTGATTTCTCTTTTAGTGACCGAACATATTCTGTGGAGCCATTTAGGGAGCTAAATTTCCAATTTTTTTTTTTAATACATCACCCAGTAGGTTCTCGGATTCAAACTGTGGAAGACCAATGGAAAATGACATATATTTCTCCTGCTAATATGACCCAGCTTTTTAAGAATTTAAGAGTTGCATTAATTTATTTAACAAAGGAGATATGAATATAGCCTTTGCGATAGGTTTCCATGACTTTGCCAGAAGAGACATACGGCAGCCTCAGAGATGAAATTACACAGGCCTGGATTCATTTACCTCTCACTTTTCAACTCTGATGACGTGCATCAAGTTCTGTCATTGACGCCAGTTACCATTCAGACAGTAGGCCCATACACTTTAAGGCTGGATAATGACACTGATTTACTATTTATTTCAGTTCGGCTGTTACAGGTTACTGCACAAAGCTAATATAATGACACCGATGACAGCATACTTTCAGATTTGGAGTAAGTAGCATATTAAAAAGCTGCCTGGAAAAAGTTACCCACTAGGACACAATTTATTTTCAATGAGATGCGTGAATTGTCATGATATTTATAGTGGTCGTAATTTAGCAAAATTGGATGAAACTGGACACATGCTACCAATATTTAGCAAATGGTTTCATATGCACTAAAAGGCTTGGATTAACAGATCAATCTTGGGAAGTTAAGAATCAATACCGGATTATTCAAAGAAAGAAATCATAATACACTTTCATTAGCAGCGCGCTTAAAAGCGCTTCAGCATTTACTGTGTCCTCTCAGGTCTTACATCATTTCTGTGCTATTTTAAGGCGATTAATAGAGCAGGGTCTTTTCGTTCCTTCTGTCAAAGTCAAAACCGGAGCTGATTTTATTATGATCCGCTCTGCATCTCACCACGAAGCCTGTCAGATTTGAGGGAGTTCAGCGTGTTCATTCAGGCTGATGGGAATGGCTTTTCAAAGCTGGCATTGGTTGAGAGCTGTTTCTACACTCTCGGCGCTTGTTGCAGAAGCTTAACAAAACCTTGGGGCTTTGCACGTTCCTGGTGAAAAGCGCCTCTTGTTTTTAGAATAAGCCATCTAAAGACATGGGTGCCTGGGGTCTGGAGCATTCAGTGATTCTGGGCCCTTCGAGGTTTCTTTCATTTGCTTTGAGGAATTACAAAACTACAGTCTTAAGACTGCGGCACTGCGGGCTTGTGGGAGCAGCGGGGTGGAGAGAGCTCGCTGCCGCTCTGCAGGTGATGCCAGAGAGACGCTTTGCAGACGAGCTGAGATCTCTAATCAAGGGCATTCACTCTCCACTGCTAAATAAGATTAATGAAAGCGTCTAATCTCTCTCTTCTTCTGTCTCATTCTCACCGGCCCACACAGAGGTGGGTGGTGTAACTAAAATCGTGTATATCATGGTATGAGTAATTTTATATCACAGCAGCAGTATTTATCACTATATAGTTATTCCTCCAAAAATAGTTTATTTATTGAATAATCTTGTAGCAGTGCCTGTGAATGAAATATTTCATCTTATTTTATTAGTTTGTATTTATATATTGCACAATATGTTGGTACCATATTGGGTATTAGTCAACACTGTAAAAAAATAAAAAGTTGAGAAAACTTAAAAGTTGAAGGCAACCAGATTCAGCAGTTGAGCACTTGAGTTTTCTCAATTTGTTTTTGTTGGAGATTTTTGAGTTTTCTAAATTTTTTGTTGTATAAACTGAAGCAACAGGTTGAAAAAACTCAAAAATCTGTGGAAGCTGGTTGCCTTAAACTTTTAGGTTTTCTCAACTTTTTTTTTTTTACAGTGAATACCGTGTGTGTGTTTTTTTTTTTCTTTTCTTTTAATGTACACAAATACAATTATTTTGTTTAAATTAAATTATTTGTTTATATACAGCAATATACGTTTGCTAATATTGAATATTTCATTTTAAATTTAATTTGTATTTTTTTATATATTTAATTTATTTAACTTCCCACATTTTCAATTATGTTTGGCATCATCTAGCACTCAAAGTTAATATTTAATAACACAAACACTGATAAAATTAATAATATAATTGCAAAATTATTGTCAATCTTTTATTCTGTACATTTCTTATTTTATTTTATTTTATATTATTTTATTTTACATCTCTAATTGTAATTACTTATGTGGAACATGCTGGATGCAAACCATGGGATCATTTTTTTTTATTTACTTACTAAATAGCAAGTAACCAAACATCAGGTAAATTCTACATCAATATACAGCAATTATGCACACATTTTGTCTAACAAACACCACTTACAAAGTTTTCAGTTTTCTTTACTTGTTTAGGATGCACCTGCTCTTTATTTAGTCCATGTTTTTGAATAGTCCCTCTTTTTTGCCATATAGAAGTTAAACCTTTGATGTTTCTCCATGTGGTCTTCAGTCTTAACTTGCTCTGCTTTCTCCAGGTTGCGCCTTTACTTACTATATTTCTCACAGATTACATCCATTCTCCTTGTTACATGTATTACAGAACACATGAGAAGGAATGAAAACCTGAAGGCAGAGATGTTTTTCAGGTTTGATCTTTATCTCTGTCATCCATTGCTTCAGACGTAGGAGAAGCTGTCTTGGATTGTAAGGGATCTGCAATGACCTTTCAAAATAACTGTCCCATGATGATGTATAAATGTCTAGCATATGTCGAAGAAACATGCATTATTCTCCTTGGAACATGGATTTAGATCTGGCTCATGCTGTGGCCCAATCCTGTTCTACATCCGATAAAGCTAACTTTTTTTTGCTCAAGTCTGAGCTTTGTACAACTTGTTTAGCTGTGCTGTGACTGCATATTGATCAGAGATGAATATAGTCGCTCCCTGTAGACCTTATTATAAATCTACGCCCTGCTTTCCAAAATTATTTTCTGAGAGCTTTTGGAGGAAGTTCTGCACAGATTCCCAATGATCCGATACCTGGATCAGAGCCACAACAGCCTGACCACTATAAGCAAACAGTGTGGTTCAGGATTTTCATATCCTATCCGTTTTCTTCAGAAAGTAAGTCAGCCCCTCTACACTCTCTAACGGTGTATAGATTTGTATAGCTCAGTGTCAGCTCAGTCAATTTTGTTATTTTGTTAAACAGTAAATGGAAGACAATACATCTTTTTATTTTTTAATAAATTATAAATAAATCATTCATTTAAACAAATCAATCAGTCATTTTATGTTAGTAAATTTAGGCATCACAACATTTTTATAAATTATTATTTCTTTATTATAATATAGAGCAATATACGTTTGCTGATATTAAATATTTAACTTTAAATTAAATGTTTATTTTTTAAAGGGGTCATATGATGTTGCTAAAAAGAACATTATTTTGTGTATTTGGTGTAATGAAATGTGTTTATTTACAAAGCTCATCGGTCTGAAAAGATCAATCAGTCATTTTATGTTAGTAAATTTAGGCATCACAACATTTTTATAAATTATTATTTCTTTATTATAATATAGAGCAATATACGTTTGCTGATATTAAATATTTAACTTTAAATTAAATGTTTATTTTTTAAAGGGGTCATATGATGTTGCTAAAAAGAACATTATTTTGTGTATTTGGTGTAATGAAATGTGTTTATTTACAAAGCTCATCGGTCTGAAAAGCGAGGTGTGCTCTGATTGGCCAGCTATCCAGTGCATTGTGATTGTGATCCGAATACCTCAAGCGTGTGACGGAATTGTTACGCCCCTTACCATATTGTGATGGAGCGATGAGACAAAAACATTAAAAAACCCATTATAAATGAGGTATTTGTTGCATCCAGTGGGGACATAATTACGGATTATAATGACTTATACTGTCTTTTTACGTTGCGCGTTGCATCGCGCCGCGTAAACATAAAACCATGTCTGCATGTGTGATCGGAGAAATGACAAACAACAAGCACATTGCTCAGAACTCGCGTTTGAATCGTCAG